CACCCAGATTCTAGACACCGGCGGCCCCCTTCCGCTTGGATCCGCGATGTCGTGGACGGTTCTGTATAGCGAGATATATGGCTGCTGTACCCGGGCGGCGCGGCATTGTGCAGGTATGCTGGTCCCTGGGTTGAATGCGCTTACTTACTGACGTTGAAATTCGAATCAACGTAGAACTATACGCCAAGCTAGCCCCGTTCTATCAGGCGTACACGGCGAGGATCTACGCGGTTCGTCCTCAGCAGCATACCGTTACGTCCCACACGCCGGCATGAAGCTGGCCATGATTCGTCGGCAGGACGCCCCCCCGGCAGACGACGACGACACTGTCAATGCACTGCTCGTGGACTTCTACAACACGCAATGGGACCGCTTCCACCGCGGCGCGACGCGCGTGGACGAGCTCTTCACGTACCTCAACAGGCACTTCGTGCGTGCTGCCGCTGCGAAGCGGACGGACGGGGTCGTGTCTGTGCCCGTGGTTAATGTACGTGGTTATATATACTCATTCTCCTGTCCACTTCTCCTACACAGTATTCGCTATGGGGTCGGGTTGAGGGATGACTAATGAATTTCTGCCCCGGGCCAGGTCGCGCTCGCACAGTGGAAGACGCAGGTGTCCGAGCCGGTTGCGCGCCGTCTCTGTCCCCTTCGCGAAAGCGCCGACGCCGAGTCACCACTTGGGCTAGATTCAGAAGTGACTCGGATCCGGGGTAGACTGGATTTGGCGTCTGGAGGGAAGTTGACGGGGGCCGAGTTGGAGTTGGAGGAGATGCGTGTCCAGCCCGAGCTTCCTACCTAGCCTCCTAGCCTATAACCTATATTCAAACTCACTCGCACTCCTGTCGCTCACCTCGACTACAGCACCGTCGCTCGTTCAGAATCGCAAGCCGGCGGGTATTTCTTTCGAATTCCAAGACTTCCGACGTGGCTAGCCCAGTGGCAACGATAACGCGGGAACACTTATAGATCCCGAAGGGAACCCCAATTTCGGACTGGTTTGATTTCGATAACACAGGCTGAAAGAGTCACTTTGGCCACGCAACCTGCTTTGAGCGTTAATTTGCACTTGAATTCTATCGAATCTGAACCTGGGATAACCCAGCAGTCGGCTCAAAACAGGCTCAGGACTGAGGCCTGAGGAGGCCAGTGCACGGTTCGGATCGAGCGCTTCAACATCATCGTGTACGACGACGCGATGACAGAGGCCGAACAACACGCGCCGCGATGGGTTCGAATCAATCAGGACTGTATTATTATATTCAAGAATCGCCTCTCCCTTCCTTCGCTCTCTCCCTCCTTTCTCCGCTCCCCGCGCCGCCCCACCCATCGGCCCACCCTTCCTTCCTTCCTGCACCCGCCCCGCACGCACCCCACCCCGCCCCGCACGCACCCCACCCCACCCCGCCCCGCACGCACCCCACCCCGCCCCGCACGCACCCCGCACCCGCGCAGCCCGAGCAAAACCGCCGCAGAGCCCAAAGCACCTCACCGCTCGACCGCCGAGCCCAAAGCACCTTACCGCTCGACCGCCGAGCCCAAAGCACCTCACCGCTCGACCGCCGAGTTCCGGAAGCTGCTCTTGTCTTGCATCGAGTCTGGGTGTGGGTGGCGTTAGCAAAGGCAGCCGAGAGACGGGGAAACGAAGAAGAAGGAGGGAGGGATGGGGAGGATAGGGAGGGAGGGGCGGGAGGGGAGGGAGGGGAGAGATGGGAAGGGATGGGGATGGAGGGAGGGGAGGGATGGGGAAAGAGGAGGTGATGAGACGGAAGAAGGAGGGGAAACGACAGAAGGGAAGAAGACGGGGGAGGAAGGCAAGCAAAGGGGGGTGAAGAAAAGCGAGCGAAGAAGCGGAAGGAGGGAGGGAGGGGAGGAAGTAACGAAAGCCGAGGCGAGACGAGGCAAAGGAGGGAGGAGTAAGAGGGTGAGGACGGAGTTCGGAACGAGACGAGGGGGATGGACGAAGAAGGAGGGAGCGAGTTCGGAATGAAGGAAAGGAAAATGCGGGGAGGGAAGGAAGGCGGGACGAGGAGTTGATAAGGGAGGAGGGAGACGAAAAGTGAGGAATGAAGGAGGGGTGCGGACGAAGGCGGGGAGGAAGGCCGCGGAAGAAGCGAGAGCGGGGCGAAGGAAAGAGGGGGTTGAAGAGGGACGGAGTTCGGAATGAAGATAAGGAAAAGGGGGGGAGGAGTTGACCATAAGAAGAGGATGGGAGAAGGGAGACGGAAGGTGAACGAAGGAGGGAAGTACGAAGGAGGGTCCAACGATGAAGAGTAGAAGGAGGGAGGCAACGGAACGGAATGGCAGACAAGAAGGAAGAACGAGACGGCGAAGGGCGGAGGGAGGGAGTGAAGAGGGGAATGAAGCGAAGGAGGAGAGAGGGAGGGAAAACGTTGAACCTAAGAGATGGAAGGAGAACGACGGACAAAAGAGGGAAGGTATATGTGAGAAAAGGGAGCGGAGCGGAATGGAACGAAAGAGGGATGGAGGGGAGGGAAGAGCAACGAAGACGGGTAGGACAGCACCGTTATTGGACTTGTACTCCATGACCGTCGACGGCGGGATGCCGAGCACCTGGCGGAGGGTGTCTCTGCGCGTCGTCAGTAGCCGTCGTCGAGTGGTGAAGCCAACGCACCGAATCCGCTCCCGAACGCGCACATCCTGGTCGACGCGGTTCCACAACGAGATGATATCCTCGCTCTGGCGCACGCTGATCGTGCAGCCGCAGATCTCCGGTGCGTCTTCGTCTTCGTCTTCCTCTTCATGTACACCCTCCTCGGCGGCATCCCCGCCCCCGCGACACCCCGCAAACGCATCCCCCACCACCGCACACACCAGCGCCTCCCACACGCGGTCCGCGACGCCCTTCCGCAGGCGCACGATCCACTTGCCCCCGCGCACGTTCAGCGGGTCCTCCCACACGGGGCGCGCGACGCGCGCGTGGAAGAGGAGGTAGTCCGTCGTGGGGAGGAGGGCGGAGGGGGGCGTGAGGTGCGTGTGGAGGGCCCAGAAGGATTCGACCTGGGGGCGTGTGTGAGTGGGGGGGTCGTGTTAGAGGAAGGGACGGACGCACACTACTAAACGCCGCCACGCGCTTGATCCCCTCCTCATAGCTCACGATCTTGTTCCCCGGCGCGCGCTGCTGGCGGAACCAGAACACCCACGTCGTGCGCAGCGGGTGCACGCCGCCCCCATCTGGTTCTTCACCTCCTTCGTGATGCGGGTCCGCGGCGAGCGCGACGGACGTGGAAAAGTGCTTCGACGTGGAGCGGGGCTGGGACGCTGCCGGCGCCGCGGCCGAACTCGAAGTGGTTGTGGGTAGCGCGGCGTTGGATGCGGGCGCAGACGAGGAGGACGACGAGGAGGCGGAGATGGCGAGGAAGCGCGACTGGCTCGAGTGGTTCGAGAAGTAAGTGCTCATAGCGTGTTTGGCGTTCTTTGCGTCTGTCCGTGGTGGGCGGAGTTTGAATTCGGTCGCGGATTGATTACAGTTCGGGATGTGGAGGCACGACAACTTTAGTAGCCTTAGGCGCTCGCCAGCGCCTAACTTGCACGTGAACGCCTAATTTGCACACCAACGCCTATTTTGCATGTGAATAGGAGGAGGCACGACAACTTTAGTAGCCTTAGGCGCTCGCCAGCGCCTAACTTGCACGTGAACGCCTAATTTGCACACCAACGCCTATTTTGCATGTGAATAGGAGAGGGCGCTCGCGAGCGCCTAATTTTGTATGAACGCCTAACTTTTGTGTGAACACCTATTTTGCTTGTCAACGCCTATTTTGCTTGTCAACGCCTACTTTGTATATCTCAATTGCGAACTTCCAATTACCAAATTTTGCATCAAGTACTAGAACGACAACAAGTAATTCTTCAAGACTCGCGAACTCTTACTTTACGGGCTCTTCTCTCGAGTAAAATATCATTCGGATCCACCTCATCACGCTTACGTCGCCGAGTTGCCGCAGGCGGAGTATCAGGCGCAGGCGCGACTGCCGGCGATGGTTTTGGGACCGGGGGTAGAGTGAGAGGCCACTCCTGCGGCGGCGAAGACGGCGGTAGGTCAGAGAACATTGCCGCAAAAAGATCCATATCGGAGAACTCTTGGGAACCATCAGATGCGGGCATGGTAGTGCCGGAATCGACGGCGTCGAGGGAATCACTAGCTGCCGGGATCGGAACACCGAATAAATGGCTGAAGTCTTCTAGAGGGAGGCCGAGAAGTGTGGTGAGCTGTTCATCCATTGCGGAGTCCTGCTCAGAGCGAGGGTATGGGGCCTGAAAGTTGAGGTAAGGATCCGAGGTGGTCCTGGACGAGAGGGCAGGAGCCTCGAAATCGATCGTTACATGTTTTCTGCCGCGGCTCGTTCCGTGTACATCAGATAATCGTTGTATTTGCTGGGACTGATCCATTGGACCGCGTTTGACGCGTTGTATGCCGTGTTTCGTGCCAATTCCGAAGAAGGCCCTGGATATAGGCCGTCACGTACTTGGACTGGGAGGGAGCAGCCGCGGAGGTAACATACCGAGCCATTGTTTGTAGCCATTGATGTCGTGATCAGTGCATTGATGAAGGAGCGCGAGCACGACGTGCTTCCGATCCATCCTGGAGGGGCCAGCGAGAGGAGTGGGAGAGGACTCAGAGGACGGATGGAAAAAACGTACGAGAAAGAAATTGTAACGTAACAAGTGATCAATGATTGACATACGCCGCTGAAGATGGGCTTCAGTGGGAAAGTAGGTGTTCGCTTGCAAAGTAGGCGTTCGCAGACTAAATAGGCGTTCGCTAGGAAAATATGTTTTCATTGGGAAAGTAGGTGTTCACCTGGAAATAGGCGCTCGCAGACCAAATAGGCGTTCACGTGCAAAATAGGCACTCGCGAAGGCCTAATGCTACTAAACATGTATATACTCGGGATGTGCGGTTGCAATGAGTTCTTTCGAGCGGATTCAGTTGTGGTTTACCGTGGGGTACCCCGAAGGGGAAAAACTCAAAAAGCAGTCACTACCGTGGTTCGAACACGGGACCTCACGATGTTCAATCATTTATGCTTGGAATATTGCAATCGTACACTCTACCACTAAGCTATAGTGACAAGTAAAGTCACAGCCCATTGCTCTAGGTCCTGGCGGGAACCAATTCATGCAGCGGATCACCCCTAAATATTTCTTTCGTCCGTCACGGCGATGGTTTGAATGGGATGGCATACGGCGGAATGAAGGCGGGGAGGGACTAAGTATATATGTACTATGAACGGCGGAGAACGATGCGCTCGAACCAGTTCAACGTTGACCGCATGCCACTGATTTCCGGAGTGTGCAGCCTGGACACAGTCAAGTCGGATTTTGGTCACTCGTCATGTACTGTACTACCTTTTATTTTCTCTGGGGGAAAGGCACGGAGTTTGCTTGGACTCTGTCTCATCTCCCGGTTACAGTACACGAGACCCCACCTACTAGCCAGTGTCTTGGCATTCGCCAGCGCAAGTTCAAGCCTAGAAATTCGACAAGTCGTTGTCAGTCCCCAGAAACGCCGGGCCAACCAAAACACGCACCACAACCTTGACTCGTATGACGATTTGGCACGGTGGTGGGACGCTGGGTCGGGATGGGGCTCCTAGTACAAGTCCGGATAATAAATAGGTTAAGAATTAGTACGCGAGAGAAAGACGTACAGTATCATGAGAATCCCTGGATCGAAGTGATTCTTGAAATGGTAAAGCGGGGATCGAGAGAAGATGCCTCGGCCATAAAGGCGTTCAGATATCTTGATTCAGCCAATTGGAGTGCACATTCGAAGTAATTTTTAGCCGCAAAGGATTTCCATGCGACCACCGCTAAAGAACAGTCCAGACGCACTGTCCAGACGCTCATGTTGATGCAGCGCAGACCGGGCAGATGTCGCTCTGGGTTGCGTGCAGAGTTGACGCGAAAACACGAGTGCAGAACATCGAATGCAGGGTTGGCGTAAGCCTCGATTGATAAGAGCGATTCTGTGAGAATACGCGATTGAGACATGCGCACATTTAGAGCGTTAAGGTACTTACCCGTCAATCTATCGTACATAAATCTCTCCCCACCACCGCATCTCTCATCATCTCACGGAGGCAAACCCAAATTCGCATGCAAGCCATCTCACACCCGCCGCAACCAATTCCCTCCGCCAACTCCGAGTCATGCACCGGCGCGCCACGGTCCTCCACACGCGCAGCAGGAATATATTATATCCTGCAAGTCAACGAAGCTGAGCTCCATATTGGCTGGCGCGCGCGAGCACGGAGGCGACGACTGCGAAAGTCGTAAGCAGGCACGTTAGCGACCTAGGCGCCACCGCCTGGGCGTGCACGACCGTTACGACGTGCATGCGCATGCACGAGGTGGAACTTGTTCTTGATGGTGTCGGGGAGGGTGCGCCACGACGGTGCAGCGAAGAATTTGGCCGGGAGGCGGCGGGGAGGAGCCAGAGCGCGTTGACTCGTGGAGCACAGATAGGACACGCAGGTGCGCGTCTGCATCTGCGGAGGGCTTGAGGCTCTCGAAGCCCGCGGGAAGGTGTTGAGGTGCTCCAGAAAGATGGGGAGCTCGGTCGGGTCTGTCGTCGCTAGGTAATCCAGAGCCCGGGGGTGGAGTTACGAGACATCATATTTGTGCGAGAGGCCTCTCGCACGATGGCGAGCATGTCAGATAAGATAACTGAGGCGAAGAGGGCGGAGGCATGAAGAAACTTGAATAACTGCCTGTAGATTCCGGGCCTTACTTACCTTCGCTGCACGACCTCGAGTCGGAAACGGCTCGCAGGAACGGCTCAAGAGTCAACCTCCGCTCCGAGGTCAGGGAGCCGACAAGTCACAATCATGATAGAGCCCAGGCTGAGGAAACGACAGCATGGCTTGGAAACAGAAGACGCGCGGCGAGGATTGAGCCAGTCTCAGATGCGGAAGAGTACCACAAGACTGCCATCGGAGAACCAGAGAGATTCTGAAGGAGCGAGCCAGTTGGACGATGGTTCACAAACAGAACTTTAGTTCTTGTTTGTGTCTAGCACCCAAAACATTCGGCTTATATAACTTGCCTTAAGGGGATTGTCCTCGTGAGGCACTGCTTTTTGTCACGCCAGGTTCGGCACAAGCCCCGTTCCGACAATGCCGCGCAGTGCCGGACCAATGACAGCAATCCATCAACACCGGAATATACAAGAAGTGCCCCGGCGCGCCGGGCCGGGACTTCGCGGGCTTGTTCAACTGCTTGTTCCGAACCCAGTTCTTCTAGTGCGTTTCGTTTTGTTGTTCTCTGAGTCTTTGTCTTTTGTTACGTTGTATTCCAACAAAAATCTTTGTGGCCTCGGCGGACACGTCCCGGAAACACTTTCCTCAGCTTGACGGCGTACATCCACCTCACCCAGTCTCCTGAATTCTTTTCACAGAGCGCCTGGAAAACTTGGAACCCGATGGCAGCCACCCTAAACGCCCCAAAGGTGCCGAAGAAACCGAGGACGTACATGTTCGAAGACAACTGAAGGCAAAACCTTGGAAAAGGGGATGAAATAAATGATATTGATGATTGGAGTCTCATTGGGTGACTTCCCGTAAGACAGATCTGTGTTTTTCAGATACTTGGGGGTGCCATTGATGGGAAGTATGATGTGAAAAATGAAGTATATTTGTGCACGGTAACCCGTAAGACATTTGAATGATACTCGACAAGTCGCCACAAAAAATCAGCAGACCGAAACAAAGCTCACAGAAGGCAATGCCGAGTCATCCTGAACTTCATGCTGCAGCATCGAAATTGTTCTCTAAGAATCTTGTCCCAATCTTGTTCGGTATTGGTGACACAAAGCGGCGGCTGCCGGGCGGCAGAAAGAAGACAAGAAAATCTTTGCTGTGAAGGGATGGCCTGCAAATTCCATGTAAATCTGCATAGGGGGGACAAGTGGTGAAGATGCCGAGCGTCGTATTGGTGACACGAGCAAAGATGCGACGCATTCGCCGGCGTACGAGCAGCGGAGCGCAAGAGGAAGGTCGTGGGAACTTCGGGCAGCGATAGCCTGCCGTTCTTGCCATTTTGGGTTTGTGAAAGTAAATTTCGTCTGTTCGGGGGGTCCTGACCCCCCGAACAGATTTACAAGTGTACAGGCGTTTCGAAGAGTGTAAGCGAGATCTGAGGCCGATGGGGTCCTGATGGGAGCTCCGGCATTTCGGCAAGAGAGTAAAAGTGTAGTATTTTCACAGATTTGTCTTACGGGAAGTCACCCATTTGTTGTTAAGTACATACAATTATCATAGAAAGAAGTAGTCAATGGAATTACTTTTCTGTTTGTGCCCGCCGCTTGCCGGCCATCCACTTTCATGGAGGAAGACAGGCAGCGTGGTGATTACATCACTCTCCCCTCGGGCCGGAAGTTGCCTGACGGAGTTTAAATCACGACGTGTGGAGTTGGCTTTTGGCCTTCGCGCAAGGGGTATGCACCGGCAAATGCCGAGACACCGGCTGGGGGTAGGGGGGTCTCAAAGGACTCTTATTCCACTTTTCCGACCAAGGTTCAAAATGGTCTGAAAACATGTTTTAGATGATTTTTCAAAAAATGTGAAAATATTTATATATTCACGTGATCATCAACCTCGGGCCGCCTACCAGGCGACCTGAAAGGTTGGTAGGACAAGGTGCAAAAAAGAGATAGAAGTTGTTAGGTTTCAATTCATCCACAAGAAATATGAATGTGCCCAGCTGTAGAGGTCAAGTAGAGGTACAGGACTAGAGAAAATTTATTGATCGGCCAACGGGATTACCGGATTTGGAAGTGGCTGTGCTCGGCTAAAGGGGGTAGGTAGGTCGGCCTTAATCCACTTTTCCGACCCAGTGGTCGAAATTTTAGTCATGCTTACCCCTTGCCTTCGCGTGCAGTGATCGGTCTCCTGCCTTCTGCTCGAGTGTGATTGCTGAGAAGTATTTTGGTGCAGAATGTTGAAATCGTCACTGGTGCATCAAATTCCATACAGCATCAAACAGATCCGCGACCGCGAAAATCGAATAAATTGCAACTTGCTATATTTGCAAGGAAAGCATAACAAAATCACTTGGCACAAGAGAGCACGCAAAAACAGAATCTATTGTTCCGCTAACATCAACACCGGATTTCGCGACAACTCTGGGTGATTGCAGGTCCCAGCATTGGGATCAATCCAGAAAATAGACTCGATGCCTCCGTTCGAGTCGGTGAATTGGCCTGCACCACCCTGTAGTTGAATTATATTAGTGTGAGTAAAGCCATAGCTATATCCAGCGAACTGCTCACATTGGGACAGTTTTCGCTCACAAGGGTGAGCGCCGTCAACAATTGAGGATGCTAGGCGTAACTGAAGTCGCTGCGCTAGTTGTCACAGTCAAGTCGCCTTTGCAACGGGTTAGTCACACCCGGACTCCCGATTCTGAGGTTGAAACACACATTTATTGCCGGTCGGTAGAGGGATGCATTGGGCCGCCGTAGCATTAGGCGCGATCTTCCAAAGGCAAAAAATGATTCATGAGTCCATTGACAAGGCCAAGGCAGCGACGTACCGAGGCAGTAGATATCATGTTGCAAAAACTCGATATATAGGAGGAGCAGTCAAATTCAACGTTCGTAGCGTTGAAACATTCGTAGCCGAATTGCGCGAACCCAGGAGTCGCCAGTCCTGCGAGAACGACGATGAGGGTGGAGACCTGATAATGCCGAAATCAGAAATGCAGGGCGAGAGCGACATGAACAGAAACGATGTACTTTGAAGACCATATTTGGCGGTTGAAATATCTGGGCAAAGGAAACTGGAGTACTCTGCATGCCTGAGCGACTTTTATGGTTGCGTACGCGTCAGGTGCACTAATTCGTTCCGGGGTGGATGTCGTCATTCTGGTTCTATGCACTCCGGCCCCTGATCGGCGGATCGAAATTTATTTATATCGAGGAAGATCTACGCGGGAACGCGTTTCTTTTGAACACTCTCATGTTGGCTTCAATCCGAGTTTAGCTAGCCATTCAGGATGTGGTTGCAACTGCACATCAACTTGCCAAGGCCTCTTTCGCGCTTGCAGACTTGAAACTTCGAAATCCGGTGCG